CACTTTGCACAGATCAAGCCTTCTTGTTGCCCAACCTGCCGATGATTTTGAGCAGCAGCTCTGTCTCGTCGGCCTACGAGCATCGCTTCTTGAACGCAGGTGGAGAGGATTTTAGCTTCTTTTCGGATCCCAATGTGGCTCGAAGCTGCCGAGCGAGGGAATCGATCGAGACGCCAGAGTTCAAACCGTGGGACGAAGGTGCTATGCTGGGAAAGACGAGAGCCTTGAGAAGCGAGGTGAGTGCGCGGCCATGCGAGGCGCCGGGAAGAGTAACGGGGAGCCTGACGACCGAATTGCGCTTTTGCGATCTCTGCTCGTCAGGAAGACATGTCGGATGCGGCTTACGAACGTCGACATCGTCGAGGAGACAAGTTGGAGAAGCGCCAAAGGCGTTTGGAAAAAGAGGCGCTGATACGCGACCGTCAGAAACTCAAGGAGCGCATCGATCAGCTCAGATCGGCCGATGCCAGACTTCTCATGCCGATCCTCCATGCTAGGGAAAGGCACACCGAATCGCGCGCTCCAACACCTCCAGTCGAAGGATCAACCGTCAAGACGTCTGCGAACGTCGGTCTCTCTGAGGGATCATCCTCTGCAACCGATACTTCCTCCAAGCTCGAGCACCTTCGTGCTGAGCTTCTAGGCGAAGCATTAGAGACTCTTGCGCGATACGATACACTGCTGCCGGAGCTCGTGACCACCGCTGCCAGAGCGACTCCGCCAATCGCACCTGCCGCAGCACCCATGGAGAAGCGCAGCAACAAACGACCGGCTACCGAAGAAGCTTCGGCCAGTGCGGCCGAGGACGACGAGAGCACCGACTCGCGCTCGGCAGCGGCCACTGCAGCAGCGCTTCAGTACGCCAAGAATAAGGCAAGGACTGCTGCTGCCACAGCTGCTCGACAGAGAAAGGCGAGGGAGAGGCGTGAAGCTGCGGCACGCGAAGCTGCTGGCTTGCCACCTCTTCACCCTACCGATGCAGCGAGCAGCTCGACTGCAAGTAGTGCGACATCGTCAGCTCGAGTCATCAAGTCAACGCTGAAACGGTTGCCGTCTGCAGCGAGCGCTGCAACAAGGCCAACGATCAGTCTCTCCCGTCGCAAAAGCGCGCCAGAGACGAGCACAGCTGCATCAAGAGCGCGCACGTCGCAAGCTCTTGCAAGGTCCGTCTCGGCTGTGCGTCAGAATCGAGCCAGTCTTCCAAGTCTCAAGAAACCGGCAGTATATGCGGTCAAGAACCACTTCAACATTCACGCGCGGACATCTGGTGGTCGATTCGCTCCAAAGAGCGCCCTTTCCGGTGCGGGCAAGGCTGCACCTTTGGCTTCCACACCGAAAAAAGTTGCTGCTGCGACAAAGCAACTTGTACGCTCGGCGAAGAGCGCGTCGACGGCATCACCCGAGCCTCCAAAGCGCAGTCCGCGCACCGCGCGACGAGAAGTTTCGACCACATCGACGTCAGAGGAGCGAAAGGCGTCTGGCTCGAACAGGGGCATCAGGGGCGCTAGTGGACGTTTCATCGAGCCACCTCATTCCTTGTTGGCTTACCAACAGCGCCAACAAGCAAATCGCACAGGTCCGTCCTTGTCGGAGCTCGAAGCTGCCAACAAGCGACCGAGAAGAGTCAAGCTGATTCTGGGGCCCGACAAGCGTGCGCATGGAGGTGATGCGGATGAAGCGTCACACACGAAGGGAAAACGTCGATCGTTCGCTTCGCGTGCATCGGGCTCGAAGTTGACCCAAGCTGCTGTTGAAGCTCTTGATGAAGATGGCAATTCGGATGTGGACGTGGAAGTGGCCCCTGCTTTTGTGCCGGCGGCCTTGACGCTCGAACAGGCTCAAGCGCTTATGGAAGCTGCGATGGCCGAAGCTGGGGCAGATGACGACGATGATGGCGGCGAAATGCAAATCGACCTCGCATCTGTGATGCCGCCTACTTCTACCACGTCAGCTCCCTCTACCGACACAGCATCGCAAGCCGTGTCATCGACAGTACAACAGATTGAGGATGATCAAATGCAGGTGGATGCCAAGAAGGATGAACCGTTGGATGGCGAGCCGAACAAAGCAGTCGAAGGTCAAGTGAGCGGCGACACCATCGCATCATCTGGTGAGAATCAGACGCAAAATGTGCTCCAAGTCGAGATGGAAGCATCTGCACCGTCGGAAGAGATCGCAACACCCGCTGTGGAAGCAGGTAGTCCAGATACTCCAAGCGCACGATACGTCCCAGGTCGCACAGCACAAGCGAGGGCCCGCGCAGCAGCTTCCATCCCAGCCAGACGCAACTCAAGTCGAGTCAAAGCTGCGAGCGCTTTTGGCGAAAAGATTCCCGAGCAGACGAACAAGAGGGAGGATTTCGATGTTACGTGGCACGCTCAGACACAGTCGCCTGGCTGGTTGCAGGACATGGTCGTGGAACGCGCTGAAGCTCAAATCGGTTCTCGCGAGGACAGCTCGGACGTCGAGTCGATGCAGCGATGAGCGTCCTTGCTCGTCAGTCTAGGCTCGCTCTAAACCCGTCGAGGTGTGCTTTTTGTCAAACTCTTGTATGCGAGACTGTGCGCAACGCCACAAAATGCCAATTACATACGATTCGTCGTGCAAGCTTACCGATTGATCGACGCACGTTGAACGATGCATCCAGTCGACTTGGCAAGGGTCAGCTATTCCTTTGACTCCTTCGCCCTGACAAACGCTGCAGTGCGCCAATTTTTGGAATCCCAAGGCGCCGCATGAAGAGCGCGTTGACCAAGGTCAGGAGGAGCCGCTGCTCGTGGCTGCGACTCGGAAGCGTTCACTGCTTCTTCGGCAGGGTTGACAGCGGGTGCATCAGCGTTGCTGAACGAAGCAGCGAGTGCCAAAAGGCGCATCGATCGCGCGTAGTTCTCTTCGCCACCCTCGGTCGAGTTGACGACCCCAAATGCCTTTTGAGCTGCAACATAAGCCTCTTCCGCGCGACGTTTCGAGTTTGTCGATGTCGCAGCTCGCAGCAAAGCTTCTGCGTACGTGAGGTGCGCTTCAACCGAGGACGGCGTCTGATCCGCTGCGCTGCGCAATCGCGACAATGCAGTGTCTGTTCTCTCCTGCAAGGATTGAGCAGTGGAATGTGAGGCACGCGCGTGCAGGCAGACGCCACGCCCACTCACTGGTCCATGACCAAAGTCAATGAGAGCGAGCAGCAGGTCAATGTCTTCGCTTCTCTTCGAGGAGTCCATGGAGGCAATCTCGCTCGTCGCAGCATCGATGAGTCCATGATCTTCATCTGCCACACCAATCGCGGCGAGCATGCTCAACACGTTCAAATCGTTGGGCATGGAAGTGACGCTGCGGGGAGGTCCAAGAGGTGTAAGCTTCGAGTGGACCAAGGAGCAGCGATTTGTTCGCAGCCGAAGGGGCGCCTACTCACCAGTCAAGAAGCTCGGCGGTGGCATTGTCGTAGCTATCGCTGTTCGGAGGCAGCAAACGAACTCTTTCTATAGAGATCTGCGCGCGTAATTTTGACTTGAAATGCTCATCGTCGAGGCTGCTTATCTCCTCGAGAGCACTTTGAAGAGCCGCTTCCACCTCATCGTCTTCCAATAGATGATGAGCCAGCGCCAGTCCAAGATGCGCCGCAACGCGGACCGCTATCCGCTTCTCGCCGTCCATCATCTCACCTGAAGCGGCGTCGTCTGTTCCCGCATCGAACAATCCCAAGGCTGCTTCCAGAGCATCCACAGCGCCGCCAGCATCTCCGATTGCCAATCGAATGCGTCCAAGATTGGCTTGCGCTATGGCGTACTTTGTAGCTGTGAGAGGCTTCTCATCTGCCTCGTAATCGCTCTCTAGAAGAGAAGCCGCCTTAGTGATGCGCTCGATCGCCAATTCAAATTCACCAAGTTGTTCGCAAAACAGCGCCGACAGGTGCAGAGCGGTGCTATCGTGTGGGCTAAAGGCAAGAAGAACCGAGAGGGAAAAGGCGGGAGCATGCAGCTGCGTCTTTGGTGGAGGAGTGGCAGAGCAGAGCAGCTTGTACACCCCAGACGCGAATCCGTAGTCCGCCTCGAGCTGCTCCGAATGCGAGACGTTTGTGAGTTCAAGCGCTACTCGCAAGTCGCGTGCCTTACTCACGCATGATGACTCCGAAAGGCTTACGGCGTGGGCGAACAAGACTCGGGAGGCTGCCTCATCACCGTGCCTGAGCGCAATGTATGCTTGACCTGCCCATGCTTGAGGGAGATCCGGGTCCAGAGTCTGTGCCTTTATCAGAGCCTGATTGGCAAGCTCTACATCATCGTGCTGGAGGTAGAGGAGCCCCAAGTAGCACCAAGGCAGCGCATCCTGACCAAGACAAGGAAGAGGGGCAGGTGAGTAATCACGTGCTGAAGGAGGGCAAGGCATGGTCTTTGCGTACCTGTGGTGCTGCCTCGATTGCCCGGAGGAAGCTATGCTGGGCTACCGTCACGTTGGACAAGAACGAGAGGTTTCCAAGTATCATCCAGAAGCGACTTGATTCTGGCTGCAGTCTCAAGGCTTGTTTGATGCACGCCGTAGCCTGCTCATTAGCTCCATCGACGTGCGCTCTAAGATCTAGCTGTTGAAGAGCGACGGCCAGGCTCGACCACGCGTCGGCTTGCTCATCTGGCGCAGCCGACACCACTCTGAGCTTGTGCAAGAAGACGCTTGCTTTGGCACAAAATTGCGGGTTCGCGCTCCCGCTCCTGACTTCATGACGTTGGCACACTGAGACGCTAGGCAGGCCCGCGTCGACCGGCTCGTCGTTGCAGATCTCTAGCAAGGACAGGAGCTGCGAAACTTGCGACTCTCGTATGCGACCATCGCTTGCCACTCTGGAGAGCTCCAATACCGAATCCGCTGCGATGCTCCAGCCCGAGCGCAGACGTGGCTCGGCGGACAGAGCGATGAGGCAGTGCGCTAAAGCATCCTGCAATGACTGCTGAGCCCGGAGCACGTATCCACCAGCCATCTGCTGCCTGGCCAAGAGCAGGCTGGTCTCGGCTGCAGCTATTGTTACGCCAATTTCTTCCGGGTGATGCTTTGAAATGTCGTTGAAAATGGCCAATGCCTCGTACATTTCTCCCAGGTCACGGTGAACCTCTGCGATACTATAGCGCACCGCCCACTCGTCTGGTGATAACTCTTGCGCCTTGTGAAATGCCTTGAGAGCAGCAGAGTATCGCTCAGAGCCTGCGTACGCTTCTCCAAGTCGCTGCCAAGCTGAGGCATCGGCTGGCTGGGTACGGAGTGCAACATGCAAAGCCTCGATGGCCTTGTCAAAGTGGCCCCGTTGAAGCTCGACGGAGCCTATAGCTTTCCAAGCCCAAGCATTACGACTAATGTGCTTCCTGAGAGAAGCCATTGCTCCACTCAGCGCATCGCTGCCACCTTCCCCTTCGACCACGCGACGTGCCACCACATCGACCAGGTCCCACTCCCTGTCATTGGCAAAGCCGACTGCCAGCTGCCTAGCTGCAACGTCTTCACGAGCGTCAAGCTCAAAGGCTTTTTGAAAGCATTTGGCAGCGCGACCAGCATCACTTGCGACCTCTTCATAGTAAAAGCCAAGCGAAGTAAAGGCCGGAGCGTAACCAGGCGAGCGCTTGAGAGCGGTGACGAAGCATGTAAAGGCATTCTCTGGGTTCGTCTTTTGCTCGCCTGTGAGGTGGGCGGCACATTAGACTTGATCGGTCGACACAGTCTTGCAGCGAAACAGCCACTTACCGCCCATCTGCCACAGACAGTACCCTAGCCGCCACCAAGCCTGTGCCCTTTCTTCGAACGAGAGTTGTAGAGAGCCGTCGTCCCCGTCTATGTTGTTCAACAATGTATCCAAGGCCTGTCTGCCATCGTTGAAGCGACCAGCACGGACATCGCACCAAGCCATCCCGCCTTTGGCTTCGACGCCTGGATGAGAGGAGAAGGACAGGGGTGACACCTCGGGCGCTTTGCGAGCCAGTGCTTCCGCCTGACGATAAAGCTCCTTGGCGTCATCCCATCGTAAAGCGGTCTCGTCGATGAATGCCTTGGCTATCATAGCGTCTGTATTTTCTGCATCTCCAGCAAGTACCCCGTCTAAGAGACGCAGCGCTCGTGCATGATGCTGAGGTGGGTGAAGACGCGAAAGAGCACCCGCGAGCGTTGATTCCAAAGAGCGCCGTGTGCTCGACAGGTCGAGCGCAGCAGCAGCTTCTAGCTTGCTGACCAAGGCCAGACCGGCAGAGCAGATATCCGAGGCGGAGAGATAGTCGCGATCAAGCAAGTACATTGTCGACGCAATGCGGTGCACAAGGATGGATTGGGGTGCATCCTCGAGGGCGTGCTGAGCGGGCGGGAGCAAGTTCAGAGGCACCCTCAAGACAGCCCACGCCAGGCGACTTACGATTGCAAGAGCTAACAGATCAGGTGTAGCTTGCTCGACATCGTTGCGTTTCGCAATGTCCGCTTCATCTTCGAGGTACTGCTCGTCCTGCAGTGCTGTCAATAAGCCGCGAAACGCAAGTGTTCGGCCTGCTCTGGGGAATTTCTCGATGAACGCTCGGAGATGGTCGCGCGGCAAGTCTTCTAAGGAGGTGTGTAGAGCGTCAGACGAGAGATGCGACTGCCCCTACCACGGCACAAACCCACCAAGTCTGGTGTGGTCGGCCCACTCCAAGTCGATCTCCCACGCGAGCTCTTCCGCCACACCAATAGCGACCATGCCATGCGCAAGTTGCAGCACCTGCTCTCGAGTGTCGTCTTTTCGCTCCGACTTTTGCGCATCGAGCGCCCTGGCCTTGCCATCCGTTGCTGCGGTACCTGTAGGTGCATCAGGCCTGCTACGAGGATTAGGCAAGCTGAGCAGCAATTTATAACGATGTTGTAGCAGCTTTAGCTCTGCTTGGCGACGACTTTCATCGGGCGCAGAGGCGTGCGCAAGGACCAGCTCAAAGAAGGCGGGCAACTGCGACAGACGGAGGGTCACTTTGAGCAGACCGCATACTTTGCGCAACACGGCTCCCAGCTGACCTTGCTGTTTGCCCACACCTCCGCTCCGACCTCATCGCGCAGCGCCGCTCTGGTCTTTCCAGCAGAATCCAATCTTGTCCTTCTCTTTTCAACTTCCCTGCCAATTGCAGCTTCTTCAACCGCTTCCGTCAAGCTGATCACCTCTAACAGCACGTCCAAAGACTTTTGGTGCACGGCCAGCTGCGCCTCGTACGTGCTCGTTGCTGTAGGGCTGCTCTGATCGGGCTGGGGAAGCGTAGCCAAGAGCGCGTGATGAGGCGATGACTCGAGATAGAGCTCGAGTGCTGCAGCCACTTGGGCCGAGGATCCTTCCTCCCTTTGGAGTGCTACGAGGCGCTGAATCGCCTCTGCCAGCTTGCCTGCATCCTCTCTGCTCATAGTCGAGTAGGCTCGAACGTGAGCATGGCGCAGCTCTTTGCCGGGTGTGTGTGTGTACTCACGCTTGGCTGAATACGCGCATCTCTTCTTCGAGACATTCCTGTATGCCTGCAGCATTCTTGCGCTGCTGAAAGAACTTTTCCAGACCTTGCCAGGCCAAAGGAGAATCTGGCTGGGCTCGAGCAGCAGCCCGATATGCCCGCTCCGATTCATCGTATCGTTCCAGATTCAGAAGAGCGAGTCCCTTGAAGACCAGACTGGAGCCAAAGGAGCAGGAGCAGGAGCAGCGCGGCAGTCAGTCGAGAGCACGCCCCGGCCAGATCGCCTCTTCTGCCAAAGCTCACGCATTGTAATTGTCGACCTCGTGCTCCAACACCGCGTCGCTGCCAAGATGCACTTCAGCGCTAAGCACTGTGCAACATTGAGGAAATCGACCAGAGGGGGCCACTCACGCCGATTCTAGTGCTTCGCTCCATCGTTTGGCTTGGATGGCATCCCGGCTCGCTTTGAGTTTGGACTTTGCAAAGCTCGAAGACATGACCTGCGCAGCGTGCCTGTCTGAAAGCACGCGATGGTGGTGGCGATCGCAGCGTGATGGGATGGTGCAAGAGGACTCCGCAGCGCGGTGTCCATCCACTTGATGCCTGCTGCTGCTGATGAGATATGTGGAGCGCGGCGCGGGTCACGCGCTTCTTCTGCACCGTGTGCACGTGACGTTGATTTCGCCGTTTTTCGCAGCAAGCGCTTCCAAGTCAGCAGAAGCTTCGTGAGCCATTATTGCGTCCGACACAGAGAGGCGTGCCGAGCCACCTCCATCAACCCGACACCCTCGTGCATACGCCTAGCCATTTCTCATCCGCACGCAAATCACTGAATGCTTGGCAGCCAGTCACGTTCTTTGCACCGTCTCGCCTCTGTCCTTTCAACAGTCTCCAGACCTGGTGCTGTCACGACCTCGCAGCTGTCACGACATCACAAAGTTCCCCTGCTGCCTACATTCTCCCATCGTTCAAAGATGTCCGCAGCGCCCGGTCAAGGCGCAACGAGCAACAATGCTGCGCTTCCCTTGGTGGAGGTCCAACCTTCGCAGTTTGGTCATTGGCCAGCGGTCAAGGTGCGCCAGACGTTTCTGGAATTCTTCAAAGAGAGAGGCCACACCTTTGCGCCGAGTAGCAGCTGCATCCCTTACGAGGACCCGACGTTGCTCTTTGCCAATGCCGGCATGAACCAGGTCAGTCATCGCTTCGCGCTTTGCTCGCAGGCGCCGACTGCTGACGCCTGCTTTCTTCCCTCGTCAGTTCAAGCCGCTCTTTCTTGGACTCGCTTCTCCCGAATCCTCTCTGGGAGCCTTGAAGCGTGCAGTCAACTCTCAAAAATGCATTCGTGCCGGCGGAAAGCACAACGACTTGGACGATGTCGGTCGTGACACCTACCATCACACCTTTTTCGAAATGCTGGGCAATTGGTCCTTTGGGGATTACTTTAAAAGCGAAGCGATCGAGTACGCTTGGGACCTCTTGACGCGCGTGTATGGTTTGCCTGCAGATCGATTGTACGTGACCTACTTTGAAGGCGATGCAAAGCAAGGTCTAGAGCCGGACAACGAGGCGAGAGATCTGTGGAAGAAGATGGGCGTCAAGGACGACCACATCCTCACCGGTAATGCCAAGGACAACTTTTGGGGTGAGTGAGAATGCCGGCAGCGCTCGTCAGCCGTGCCTAAGTATGCCCCCACGCCTCTCCAGAGATGGGTGCGACCGGCCCGTGCGGACCTTGCAGCGAGATCCACTACGATCGCATCGGTGGACGCAACGCCGCTCATCTCGTCAACCAAGATGATCCGGATGTGCTCGAGATTTGGAACAACGTCTTTATGCAGTACAATCGCGAAGCAGACGGATCCCTGAGACCGCTGCCTGCCCGACACATCGACACTGGCATGGGCTTCGAACGCCTGGTCTCTGTGCTGCAGGACAAGCGCTCAAACTACGACACCGACTGCTTTCTGCCCCTTTTTGAGCGCATCAGACAGCTCACTGGCGCTCGCCCTTACGCCGGCAAGCTCGGGGCAGACGATGCGGACGGAATCGACACTGCGTACCGCGTTGTCGCTGACCACGTGCGCACGCTCACCTTCGCCATGAGCGACGGCGGAGTGCCGGACAAAGATGGAAGGGGTTACGTCTTGAGGCGCATCCTGCGTCGAGGAACGCGCTACGTTCGGAAATACTTTCAAGTGCCCATCGGTCACTTTTTCTCTGACCTCATGCCAACGCTCACTGCTCAAATGGGAGAATTTTTCCCAGAGATTACCAAGCGATCAGATGACATCAAGGCGCTGCTCGATGAAGAAGAGGTCTCCTTTGCGAGGACGCTCGACAGAGGAGAGAAGCTGTTCGAGCAATACGCTCAACGCGCAAAAGAGGCCAACACAAACAAGCTCTCGGGTGCAGATGTGTGGAGGCTGTACGACACCTTTGGATTTCCAGTGGATCTCACTCAGATCATGGCAGAAGAGGCTGGTCTCACCTTTAGCGAGGCAGAATTTGAGGAGGCCCAGGCTGCGAGCAAGGAGGCGTCAAAGGGCCTCGGCAAGGCCGCGGGCACCGATATGCCCAAGCTCGACGTGCACGATCTTGGTGCTCTCGAGCAAAATGCCGACGTCCCCAGAACCGACGACGAGCACAAGTATTGTGAGTGGAGCAGTGCTTTGATGTGCTTTGCTTTCGGCTGTCACGCTCAACAGAGAGGCTGCCAATTTTTCAGCTCAAGCGTCCATCGAAGCCAAGGTCAAGGCGATATACCAGAATGGCGGATTCCATGCAGCCTCCAACGCCCCCAACGTGCTTGCGGATAAGCCGCTGGGCTTGCTGCTTGACCGGACCTGCTTTTACGCCGAGTCTGGTGGACAGCAAGGAGACACGGGAAGCATCGTCATCGATGGCAAGTCGGAATTCGTTGTGGAGGACACGCAAGTCTTTAATGGATACGTCTTGCACTCGGGCTACTTCAAGTACGGCGAGCTCAGGGTGGGGGACGATGTGGTAGCGGCCTACGATGAGGTAAGTGCGCGAGCGATGCGACTTCGCGTC